CTACTGTTTAAAAAATGGCTTATAGATAGTTGCAATTTCCACTAAAATATTAAGGGCAAAGTTTTTTTAAGGATAACCGAATGTAATGAAAAGTAATATCTACTAATTTTCACTAAAAAGGGGGAAAACATTACGATACGATAGAGCAACACCTTCCTGGGGTATGACCACCTCTTATGTTATTTTCACAGAGCCACCAAGTACTTGTATATGTCTGTGGGGCCCCAGTATAAATGTTTTGCTTTTTATTAAAAGTTTGTTTAAAAACTATTCAACTCTTTATTAAAGAAAAAAATACAAAAGAAAATCAACTTGATTTTGGTTTATATCCCATAATTGAGGAGTTAGATGCAATAAGGGCACTTCTGATAAAACTGCTTCTGAGATATTAGCGTTAAAGTTTTTGATGTTGTAATATATAAAAGAGTAGTATTGTTGTAGTTGAGAAAAATTGGCTACTGCGAAAAAAAATCATCAGATTACCAGTGTTCGACCCTAATTTAACTGCAATAAATGCTTTCGATTGAAAAGCGGGTTTCCCATGTTTTTTCTGAGTTACGTTTTTTTTTTTTAGAAATAAAAGAGATTATATTCCTATTCAGTGGCCCAAATTAGGTAAAAAAAACTCAGCGTTTTTATACAAGTAGTAGTTCCTTCATACGATGTACATATTTCATTCTGCATACATCATTAAAATTTTGTACAAAATTTATTAGGCTCCGAACGCCGCCACCGCCGCCGCCGCGCCGATATTTTCGTCATTCGGCGGCGTGGCTTGGCGGCGTAAACCTTTAATACATACATACATATGTAAAAGTTGTTCCCATGTGCAAGTACCGTAAGCATTTACAAGCATAGGGTTGTAAAATTATGATGTGCAGCATATTGTAAAAAATGCTAAAATCGCCCTAATTGAGTCAACAAATGCTTGCGGTCTAATCTTGTTGTGTGAGATTTTTGGATGTTCACAAAAAAAAAAACAATCAGCGCAGTTTGAGCAAATACCAAGGGAACACTAAAGGACTCTTTTCAGTGTTCCACCCCTCTCTATTATGCAGCTTAAATTGAAGCGGAACTGATTAGCAAACAATATGTCAACTGCTCGGTGTAAACGGCTTTACCCGCCTGCCTAACTAGTAGGTATGTGGAAATCGAATATCCGTTACTTTACTAAGCTCCTTGAACCGTCCTCCTAAGGGGTGTGCTAGGTACATACCTAAATATGTAGTACATACATATAGTAGTTGCAAGGGTTTCTGGTAGCGGTGGTAATGATTGTCGAACGGTGGAATGGCTCTCAGGGGGAGTATGAAATATGGGCCGAGCACTTGTGGTGTTGCAAGAAAAAGTCATGGAAAATAAACGGATACATGTGTCGGCAATATTTGTGCTTATTGCTGTGATAATCATCTAAAATTCTTTTGATATGCGTGTAACAGTGCCTTATTGTTGTTTGCACAAATGACATCCACGTCAAGAAGACATTACAGGGTCGTTTAATTCACAGCTCGCCACTGCAAAAGCATTCTGGCTTTTGACGTCTATATAAACATACACATATGTACATACATATGTATGTAGTACATACTCATGTACGTACGTGTTTGCATACTACGGCGTTCCTCGCAGGTATTCGTGGTGTACTCCCGCAAAGAAACAGGACCTGCTCGTCAGGCTGGCAAGTATTTTGCTGCCAAGCAACCCCGGGCCAGTCGCACCAGCGCTGGGGCGTTTGTCCAAAGCCCACGGCGTTTTCTGTCACTACCACCCTTCCGATTCCCACTGTGTATTGTTACGTGAGCCATTCTCCGAACAGCATTTCCATATTGTGAGGGTCATATTAACGCTGGAAACCGCTTTTGTGCGAATTTGTATGTATTGAATGTACACACATACATACATAGGTAAGTATGATTAGGGGAGATGCTTATCAATTACACAGCGCGTTGAAAATCATGGGCACGAATTAAATAAATGTCATATTCGGTTTTCGTCATGTTCAATGATTTGATAAATAAATAAATACCAAAGCAGTGTTTAGCTACAAACATTTCAAGTATCTTTCGCATTGTTAACAGTCATGGTAAATATTATTCTACCAGTAGTAGTAAACAATTGTACAAACCGATTGCATCCGTTCCGACTATTTAGTACAAGGAGCGTGCCGACTAACAAAAAGTAAAAGGACAACACAAATAATGCTTTCGTACATTCAAATATCTACTTATACGAGTATGTACTTTACATTTGTTTCTGTAAGAACTAAATATTTAACAGAAATATTCTCTTGATGATTGCTGTTGCCTACACAAGTTTAAGCAAAAAGATACTAACTCCCCTATTAGAGAAAAGAACAAAATCATATTTCCATACGCCAGGGACGGCAAACTTTTATACATATGTATGTATGTATGAACGTGCAATTATTACCAAAAAAATATTCAATGTAGCCATGACGTGCCGACAAGAAGCCATGACTTATCACCGTTATCGTACAAAATTTTGTAAAAGAACGAACTAGGCGTATTTTAAGGCGGATTCATCGTTCTAGTTCTGAACTTTTCTTTTCTCTGGGAGAGAAACGCAACAACAACCACATGCAGTTTTGCTACGTAAATGAGCATAGAAATCGTCAAAATGGTTCTCGAAAATCGTCCTTTGTATTGAAGAAATTCACATTACTTATAACAGAAATGTGTTTAATTAATAATAATAATAACAGATTGGCGCTAACGCATATGTTACTGTTTGGCCGAGCTTCTCCTCCGATTTGTGGCGTGCGCCTTGATGTTGTCACACAAAGCGGAGGGACCTACAGGTTTCACGCCGACTCCGAACGGCGATTGTATTTCTGTCTTTGGGTCATAAGCAATTTTTGTTATTAAATTGCCTTAAAACCCTAAGCGAAAATATAATTTTCCAATTTTTTCTCATATGGCAATACAGTTGAATTGTTTGTCCATATTTCCTTTTCCTTATTATTGAAATTATTTTTAATCATTGCATAGGTATATATGGTGAAGGAACCCTTTCCCAAAAAAACTTTAGAATACAAAAGAAAGGCCTGAAATGAGTAGTCCACTTCCAAACAGCGTTATGTGATTTTATAATAGTAAGCCATAAATTAAAAAAAAACGTCTACAACAAGTAAAATCCAAATTGTATCTTTTTATGTTATCTGAAAATTTGTATAAATAAGAGCCTGATAACATTAAAAAACAAAATCTCAGTATGGTAGTTTTCGAAATTTTATATATAAAAATTAATATAGCGAGTTTTGAAACAGTAACTTTTACACAGCCAGCTTCTTTTTTCTTTTCGCGTTCTCTCTTCCATGAAGATTGGTCTACTTCTTTTTTACGACGTCTTCCACTAGGCACCGAAACTACCACGTTTTCATGCAGTTTTCTAAGTTCATCAGAAGATGGAGACTTTTGAACTTGTATAAATACGTACAATAAATAATATAACGACTTTTGAAAGTGTATATATACATACAGTAAGTATTATGCGACTTTTGCTAGAGTAGCTAACATTTGATGCTATTTGTTTCAGAATACATAAGGATTTCGCACTGTTTTGTTAGTGGGCATGAAATTACTTTAAATACTGGTACGTTATCCACCAAAAACTAAAAATCTAAAAAATTTTACATAGAGCACTTTGCAAGTGGACTACTCAAATGGGAAGTTTGGTATCTACTTTTAAAATACCTACATATATAAAAATCCTACAGTTTGGGTTGACGATTTTTGTGTTATAGGGTTAAAAGCGTAATGATTTTCTGTAAAAGTAATAAAAAACGGCGCACAATTAAAAAAATCGTCATTTGCTTGTCGAGATCGTCAAGATAGTTAAAAATCTTCCAAATGACCAAATCGTCGACCTGCCAACACTGACCACTTGGAAGAAAAGTTCTGGATTAAAACGATGAATCCGCATTTTAATGTCTCGTGTACTTTACGTGGCAAGTGGTAAGGACTAACATGCATAATAATAATAATAATAATAGATTGGCGATTACACATATGTTAGTGTTTCGCCGAGCTTCTCCTCCGATTTGTGGTGTGCGCCTTGATGTTGTCACACAAAGAGGAGGGACCTACAGTTTTACGCCGACTCCGAACGGCGATTGTATTTTAATGAGAAGCTGTTTTTCATGGCAGAAATACACTCGGAGGTTTGCCATTGCCTGCCGAGGGGCGACCGCTGTTAAGAACAAACCTTTTTTCTACATTTTTTTGCGATGTTGCTTTGACCAGGGTTTGAACCTAGGCGCTGCGGAGTGGAAGCGCGCACTGCTTACCACTACACCACAGCGGCCGCCCATGCATAGGGAGATGAAAATAAGGTCAAGGTAGCAAACGCCAGCTTCTGCAGACAGTTAATCTGTCTGGAATCGTTTTCGAAGTTTCTAAAATTTTAGCATTTTTAGTAGGGATGTGCGAATTATCGGTTAATCAGTTTATTAATTGATCATAATCCTGATTATTTAAAAATTTTATTAATCAGACTCTANCTTAAACGTATAATTATTTAATAATATAACAGATAGAATTTAGATGTGTAGGTTTTAAATGGTAACGAAAATATAGTTTGTAATAAAATTCCCGTCNTTCCTGGTTACTCAAAAAAAAAAAAAAAAATGGAATCTGAATAACTTTGTTCATTTCTTTCGAGTTTGCTTTCATACCAAATGAATTTTTTTTATGTACAATTATGTATGTATGTATGTTCGCTTGCACATTCAATATTTTTCTTATTAATAAAAATAAAATGCCAAAAGAGTACGTACTATGTAGTACATACTACATAAATATGTACATTTGTATATAGTTCCTTAAAATGAAAAACACGTATGCATATATGGGCAAANTTACACCAAAAATGTTTTATGGATGCCACTGATCTAAATTATTTTACTTACATATAATGACTACGGTCCCCGTTTAAACTTAATACGTCCAGTTTTAAACTTAATTATTTGTTGTNCACTATTTCTTTGAGTCTCCTTTTCTCTGACTTTTCGTTTCAAATTTATTGGAAAATCTGAGCGATAGTTTGCAATAATTGTGATTTTGTAAGTAAATTTTTGCTAAAATATATACATATGTATGTGCATATTGATGAAATTTAATTGTTTATATATTTCTTCAAGTAGGTTGAGCTATTATCCCGCAAAAAGCAGCGATTTATTCAAGATAATTCCAGGTAAGTTTCGCAAACTAAATGCATTCACCAAACTAATGTATTTTTCTCACAAAAGGTTTTTAGAACAGCACCTTTTAAGTTTTAGAGCTGGCTACAGTTGTTTATTGGGGCAGTGTCTCATCAGCGGCGCTACCAACAGCGGTGTTATAAGCAAGTTCCAGGTAGGAAATTGTTAAATCCAACATATTTATATCATCAGAATCTAACCAGTCTTTATGTTTGTGTTTCTTCCATCAGATTTTTGGAGCAGTGTCTCGCCAAGCTGCGCTACCAGCAGCGTTTTAATAAGCAAGTTCCAGGTAGGAAATTATGAAATCCAAAACATTTATATTATCAGAATCTAACCAGTCTTTATGTTTGTGTTTCTTCCATCAGATTTTTGGAGCAGTGTCTCGCCAAGCTGCGCTACCAGCAGCGTTTTAATAAGCAAGTTCCAGGTAGGAAATTATGAAATCCAAAACATTTATATTATCAGACCTTAACCAGTCTTTATGTTTGTGTTTCTTCCAACAGATTTTTGGAGTAGTGCACACCAGCAGCATCATCACCTTCTACAACTAGGGATTTTTCAATTGCGTTTCAGGTAAGAATTTAGCAATTGCCAATGAATCAAATTGGTAACTTATTTTTTTATTTGTTTTTGGCCTACACCCATGCTTACACCATCTTGTAATGATATAATTATTAATACACCATGGCTCACACTAATCACGGATTCGGTACTTATCTCCAAGCGTTTCCGCTCGGATGACTATGATGAGGGACTTCGGTCTAGCCACTTAAACGTATAATTATTTAATAATATAACAGATAGAATTTAGATGTGTAGGTTTTAAATGGTAACGAAAATATAGTTTGTAATAAAATTCCCGTCAAAGTTAAGTTATTTAAAAACTTAGTACGCATATATACTTCAGAACTTAAGGAAAAAAAATACAAATAAAATTCCATACTTGATGATATGTTATTTTTATTAGAAGTTAAATATAATTAAATAAAGAGAACGGTTTAATTTTATTTGTTTTAATAAGAATAAATGAAGGGCGGAAAATAGTTTTAATTTTTTTTTTTTAATTTTAACCTACCTCTTATGTATGTGGTACGTCTACGTGGCCTTTTAAGTTTTATATATAATAATTTTGAGGTAGAAAAATAAAACTGAATAATTACTATAATCATTATTTTTGATGGAAATAAAAATAGTAATAATAATTTCTTTTGAGTGAAAACATAAATCTATTATTATACTAGTTTACACCAAAAATGTTTTATGGATGCCACTGATCTAAATTATTTTACTTACATATAATGACTACGGTCCCCGTTTAAACTTAATACGTCCAGTTTTAAACTTAATTATTTGTTGTTAATGTAGACAATGAACAGAATATCCTGCGCCTTGTGCCATTCAACGTGGGCAAGTACGAAGCTGAGATTTTTTAGAGTCCCTAAGGAAGAAATAAAAAAGAAAAAATGGATTGAGGCGTGTGGTGTAGAACTGCAGCCAAATGCAAGAGTTTGTCAGCTTCATTTCGAAGATGAAGACTACGAGATAGATGATTATGGCCAACGTAAGCGTTTATCAGGAGTAGCAGTTCCAATGAAGGTGGAATATTTAAAAAGTTGGGATGAGCCAGGTGGCAAATTTAAGAACTCGTCCACTCAAACAGAGTACGTTTTATGTATAACATTTGATACGTATGTATGTGCGAATAAAACTTTTATGTAACAGAACCGTCATCGAAAGCAGTTTCCAACGGGAAAACGTCGCCTTGAAAAAGCAAGTTGAAAAATTGTTGGTTGAGGCAGCTAAAATGAAGGCGGAAATCGAGGAGCTTAGGGCGATGCGGACCAGTTTCCGTTCTGTTTTTACCCTGAATCAAGTGCGAAAACTAGAAACTCCCAGTAGACAAATGCGGTGGAAATATGAGGACATAGCGTGGGCATTGCCATTGAATGCAGCGGGCCCAAGGGCATATACTCATTTATACCGGAAAGGATTTCCTCTGCCTTCGGAGTCTACATTGGCGAAGTGGCTGCAAAAGCTAAAGTTCGACGACGGAATTCTACACTTCGTTATAGACGCAATGGAGGCCGTGAATGAAATAGAATTGGTAGACAGGCTTTGTGTTTTGGTATTTGATGAGATGAAGATTGCTTCGGCCTTTGAACATGATCCTCTCACGGATACTGTGAGATCGCCGAAGAAGTATGTTCAAATGGTGATAGCTAGGGGACTTAAATGGTCCTGGCCGTCTTCTATGCATTTGACTGCAAAATTACAAAAAGTATAATAGAAGAAATTATAGTTAATCTCTCTCGTGCTGGCTATCCCGTAGTTGCAGTAGTATCCGACATGGGTACAGGAAATCAAGGGCTGTGGCGAGAATTAGGAGTTTCCAGGGGTACAGTGTTCTTTATATAAGCAGAAAAATAGCAGTAGCTTTTAATAATTCTGTTTTTGTATACTTTTAGAAAAAACATGGTTTCCGAACCCAGCTGAAGAGCAAGACAAAATTTTTGTATTCGCGGATGCTCCGCATTTGCTAAAGCTGATTCGGAACCATTTCTTGGACGATGGCTTTGTTTTTCGCAACAAAATAATATGTCCTTAAACGATAAGTCAAATTATGCGCTGCACATTTGCATCAGATCTGTCAATTTCACATAAATTGACAGAGAAACATTTGACAGTTCACCATGCCGGTCGCCAAAAGGTAATGCAGCGTTTTTGCTGCATTTAAAATGCAACATTTAGCACTTTCGAACATATGTTTTCGAAGAGCGTTCATGCTATAGCATGTAGCAAAAGTACATTTACGCGAGTTCGAAATCGAATGCTTTTGACAAACAGCCGTTTTCCAGTCTCTTATTTAGATGCGTATATATTACGATCAATTCTCACGCAGAAGATAATGTGCAAAAACCCTACTGGAAAGGGAAAAATAAATTTTAAACCAAAAATTCAATACAAAAACTTGAATTGTTTTAACCATAACCGAACATTTGTTTGTGTATATATTCATTTGTCGGTGCTGTCAATTCATGATTCAATAATAAAAGGTTTGCTCAAAAAGCAGTTTTCTCGCTCCCTCTTAACAAAATCGTCTCCCTTAGCAAGGCACTGTGTGTGGGTTCGTGTGTGTGTGCAAAGCTTTTGTAAGGGAGCTAAGGGAGTGTCAAAACTCGAATGTCAATAATGAGCAAACCTTTAATTATTGAATCAAGCTGTCAAATTAAAATTTCCTCACTTAATTAGGAAACAAACCAAACAGAGTTGATCACAAATTGATCCAGATTTCTATCAGCATCAAATCGATGTTGAATTTGCTTAACTTTACTTTATCCAAATATGTAATGCAAAATAAAAGAAATCTCGATCGGCGATCACTGAAATGCAGCTAGCAACTGTATACTCGAAAAAGCAATGTGGCCACTTTTTCTCTTTAAACCATGTTCGAATCGTGGAAATTTTGGAAGATCACAGGGTTGCTTTTAGCATTTAGATTCTTAATGCAAAAATGGAGTTGCATTTAGTTGCATTTAGGTGACGAATTTTGTATGAATAAATGTACATTTAGAGTAGCATTTAGAGCTAAATGCGCTAAATGTGCTTTTACGCGTAAGCAAAAACAGCCTATTAAATCGAATTGAAACTTTTAACCGTGCTACTATAAATCACATTTTGAATGCGAGTTAAGAGTTGTTGAATCGTGTTAAGAGTGCATATTAACACGGGATTTGAGCACACGGTTGTTTCATGCAACTCTGTATGAAGTAAAACATTTAAATAGTTCTTGAAATTACATTTAGACTAAGCTTTCCTAAAAAAATAATAGCTAATATCCTTTTTCATGGCTGTTTGGAACTTTAATTATTATTTTTTCATGTTTATTAATTTCAAGAAATGACACATGTATTAACAGGGTCGCATCGGGATGAACTCTGTTTGGAAGCGTGTTCGATCGACTCATTTCTTTTGTTGCATATAAACACTTTCATTTCAAGCGAGCTACACTGACACGAGTTAATTCTATACCGAGTTTGATGCCATATAAACAAGGTAAATTACTAGCAACGTGTTCATGTGATAAACATTAAATTCGGTCCGCCCATTCCGACGACCCAATACGCGTAAAAGCACATTTAGCACATTTAACTCTAAATGCTACCCTTAAAATAAAAGAAATCTCGATCGGCGATCACTGAAACGCAGCTAGCAACTGTATACTCGAAAAAGCAATGTTGCCACTTTTTCTCTTTAAACCATGTTCGAATCGTGGAAATTTTGGAAGCTCACAGGGTTGCTTTTAGCATTTAGATTCTTAATGCAAAAATGGAGTTGCATTTAGTTGCATTTAGGTGACGAATTTTGTATGGNCCCAGCTGTTTTCCCACACCACAGCTAGCGTTATAAGGCGATGTTATCAAATGGGTGAAGAGCTTTATAATCCGCTAGAAACAGCTGACTTCATTGACGACATTAATGATTGGTTCGACTTAATGAACACAAAGATGACCACGATACAAACTATTCCTTCGAAGAGGCCATTTGGGGTAGATATGGAGCAACAGACGAAAGTTTTAGAAACAATGGACTCCATTGCCCTCAATGCAAAGGTAACCAGTAGGAGAACGCTTCTTCCTTTCCAGAAAGGAATTTTGATGAGCAACGAATCTCTACGGTCGTTGTTCTATTGTCTGCAAGAAAAATTTGGTTTGCGGTATTTGCTAACCTATCGGCTGAACCAAGATGTGTTGGAGAACTTTTTCGGTGCAATGAGGGCGAGGGGTGGGTTGCACGATAATCCAACACCGATGCAATTCAAATACCGGCTTCGAAAATATCTTCTTGGTAGGATAGGCTTATAAAAGATTTTTCTGTAATATATTTAATTAGTATGCGTATTTTGTACCTTTCATGTAAAATTTAGCACAAAACACAGCACTCCTCCCTGGAAGAGGAAATGTTGGCGAAGATGATACCAACTGGCTTCCACTGAGAGACATACCTCATTGTGACTACATCTCGGAATATCTAGTCGAGTCTGACGCCTCCATCGTCTCCGCAGATGATTTTAACATAGAGAGCGACATAGACCAGTTCCACGAGGACGCGGTCGAGTATATAGCTGGCTATTTTATCCGCAAGCTTCATTTAACTGGTATGGAGTCCACGGACAATACGTTCACTTGGGTTGATGAATTGTCGAAAGGCGGTTTAATAAAGCCTAGTTCTGCGTTTGTGAAGGAATTATTGTTCTTAGAAACCATTTTTATAGAAATGCTTAACGCCTCAAAAACTTCTCACATGGCGGAAAATGTCAAAAAACTTTTTTTTAAATGTAGAATGCATTTTCGTATTAAAGATTTGAATAAATCCATAAAATGATATAAATACACAATTTTTTTTGTTTGTATGCCTATTCATTGAATTTAAACAGTTAAACAAAAGTATTTCTTATAGGAAAATACACTGATAGCGAGAGATTTGAATATATGTCCATATGTATATATTCGAAATCAGTATTGGAAATAGTACCCAAAAAGTAGTAAAAATAATCCAAATTTGTTCCCCCTTTTTCTACTACCCTCAAATGCATGACCGCAATTGGCATGCAGAAAAAGTGAGGTTATGTAAGTGACATCACCTTATATTTATTTCACCATGGGCAAATCTAAAAAATAGGTACACTCTCCAAAAAAAAATTTTGATTTTTAAATTTGTGAGCACACCTATGTTTTATATATAATTTTATTCGTACTCTCTTAATGAATCGATTAATATAAGTGTAATTCATTTTCATCAAGTGCTTCAAAAGTTAGACGAGGAATAAACATGAAATAGAAAACAAAAGAATAAGCTGGGTTCAAATTACGTTGTTCAAGTTGTAAAATTTGAGCGAAGATTTTGAAAGTTGAACTCACTTAATTGGGACGTTCTTAATTCAATGGCATCTCCCGGCATCGAGATAACGGTATTTGAAGAT